GGATTCCATTACTGGTTACGTGATAAAAAAATTTTTTTCCCTATGTCCAGGGCAAAATCAAACTAAATAGTCCGTGGCGGCAGCATGCGGCGCTAACCCCTCTTTTCTACACCGACCTGTTGTTGTTGTGATGGTGGTAGTGGTTGTGGTTGCAGTAGTAGTGGTACTGGAAGATGATATGATTGTGGGGAAAATAAGCCGGGGGGGGGGGGGGGGGGGGGTTATGCCAGAAACAGTTAGCTGAAAGAGCCTAACATATTTTTTTAAAGTTCTCATTTCTTAACTATTTCTATTTTAATAATTTTGCCAGGTGATGATTTTTCAATCCTTCAGAGAGGGAGATATGATTGGGGTAGGGGGTGAGGGGGGGGGGGGGGAGGGTTTGCCGGACACAGTTAACTGAGAGAGATTAAAATATTTTTTTAAAGTTCTCATTTCTTTATTTCTATTTTAATTATTTCTCCATGGATTTTTCAGTCCTTCGAAGAGGGTGATATGACTTCGCCAGGTGATAATTTTTCAATCTTTTGGAATCTTTTGGAGAGGGAGATATGATTGGTGGAGCGGGGGGGGGGGGGCGGGGAGTTATTGCCAGACACCATTAGCTGAGAGAGCTTAAAATATTATTTTAATGTTCTCATTTCCTAACTATTTCTATTTTAATAATTTAGCCAGGTGATGATTTTTCAATCCTACGGAGAGGGAAATATGATTGGTGGAAAGGGGGGGGGGGGGGGTATTGCCAAACACAGTTAGCTAAGAGAGCTTAATATATTATTTTAAAGTTCTTATTTCTTAACTATTTCTATTTTAATAATTTCGCCATGGATGATTTTTCAATCCTTCGGAGAGGGAGATATGACTGTGTCGAGGGGGGGGGGGGGGAAGAGAATGACAGACACTGTTAGCTGAGAGCTATTTTCTTTCCTCTCCCTTTCACCATTCTGGGCCTCAGCAACGCGTGGCCGGGTACAGCTAGTATTATTTATATTAGACAGTTGTGGCAGCACTTGATCTTGACGATGCCTACAGTAGAGTAAAATATGATATTTTGACTTTATCACTGATGAAGAAGAGTGTTTGTCCGTGGTTTGCGAACTGGAGAGCAGCTGTCCTGCATTCACGTTTGGTTGACCTTCACCTGGGTTTATGGACCTCACAAGCATGTAATATCGCTCTGGGACTACCGCAGGGTTCTGAATTTCACCAGTGCTCTTTAATGTGTATACAAGCGAGATTGCAGAACTTGAATCACCAGATGTTGAAAGAATATTGACATTTGCCGATGATGTGTTTGCATATAAGCAGGGGAGAGATATTCGACGGATAGCCCTCGAACTACAAGCAACTGTGGACAAAGTGACTGACTGGTGTGCAGAAATTGGTGCTGTCGTCAACTCAGAAAAGGCAGCTGTTTTGTGGTGTTCTCTGGACAATAGAATAGTCAAAGCTAACTTTCCAAACCTCACAGTTAAAAACAGTAACATCAAAAGAGAAAGCAAACTGAGGTACCTGGGTATCATTTTCAATAGAAGCCTGTCCTTCAGGGATCATGTGGAGGCGATTGCGTTGAAATGCCAAAAAGAACTCAATGCTTTTAAGAATATGGCAGCAATGGACATAGAGTAAATAATGCTGTTCACAATGTTCCAGCATGTGATCCTGTCAGTGATAGATTATGGACTTGGCATGCTTACCATATCAAAGAGTCAGCTGATGAAACTTGAACGCATACAGAATGAAGTCATGCGGGTAATTCTTGGATGTACATGAGATATCCCCGTTAGTATGTATGCGATACATACTTGCGCTGCCTACTATAGCAGATAGGCTCAAAGTTCTACAAGCAAAGTCATATCTCAGAGTAGCTACAGACAAGAGACACCTCCTGCATGAAGCCCTGGATAGAGCTAAAGGTCACAGACTGAGAGGAGGAGAGTCTTAGATGGCACAAACTGAAGACACAATTGGACATGTGTGCAAGCTTGATAATTTGACGTGAAGAGAGGAGTGGGTCAAAGTATCCGATCAGGTTTCAGACTTGTGTAGGGTTCTTATCACTTTGGGTCGTGAGTGCAGGGATTGGCCAGCTGGTGCTGCAGAATCAGAACTTCAACAAATGATTCATGACAATTCCCGCCCAAGTGATCTTATTATCTATACAGATGGCTCTGTGTTGAGGGACAGACGAAGTGCATGGGGGTTCTTAGCGAAGGCGAATGGACGTCGCTTGGTGCAACAAAACCTGGCATATGATTTCACAACGTGTCGTTTGAGAATGGAGGTGGAGGCAGGCTGCCTTCCGCTGGCTTGAGAATCAGCTGTACACACGTGCTGTGATTGTAACTGATTCACAGAGCATGCTGAGAAAGGCGGAGACAGGCATGCTCCGTGTAGCAGCAAGCATCACTTCAAAGGTTCAGGGTAGTTAGCATCATTTGGCTTTTTTCTCCAGGTCACGCCGGTGTGTTGGGAAATAAGCAGACTAATAGACTGGGCGGCTCTGCACCACTTGGTGGTGAACTGATGTATGATGAGCTGGATGTTGTGAGGGCCCTTTAGGAGCGAGTGAACCGTGCCGAGGCTCAAACAGATCATTACAGTCTAAGGACAATGGCACTGCGAAGTGTTACAAAGGGATTTGGCCGACGCTTGACACTCAGGGGAAAGACAGACGGATATACAATCAGACAGTTACTGGTACCATCTGAATTTTAACTCTTCGCTTGCTGCTGAAGATGGAGAAGGAGCGCTTATGGGTGTGTCTCGAATGCTGTGGTGTCCATTCTTAATTCAACATTTAACCTTCAACAGTCAGATGGACCGACAAACAGCAGGAGAGACAGATAGACAGACAGTCAGTCATGCAGACAGACAGACAGCAAACAGACGGACAGACAGTCTGTCATGCGGACAGACAGATAGACAGACAGACATATATATATTTACGTACGCGCGCGCACACACGCACACACACACACACATATGATACATGATGCCAATGAAATAAGTCTCAAGACAATACATTTACTCAACAAAAAGCAGTCGACCATTCCACCAGTTCTTCACTTCTGCTTTATTTAGTCCTTATATAGAACCGGCAGCCGAGGTATCACTGTCAGTTTCTTCTATTCATCCGTGTGTTGACATGCGATTACATTTTTAATAACAGTTTTTTTTTTAAAATAAAGATTTTTAAAAGAAAAGCTTACAAATATTGCTATTTGAGTGCTTGTACTAAAACATTTAACACCTTATGTATTTCAGAGAGCAATAATTTTTATTGCGCTTCGACCCTAGAGGTGAGTACTACAATACAGTCTTGCAGTTAGAAAATCTTTCTCCGTCAGCGAGGATTTTAGATGTGCATCGTGATTACAGAGATAGACTAGCCTGGCACACAAGGCTTATACATATTTTACATAGAAGCCATTCTGAGAAAGTGTACAGCAAATAAATTTACCACTAGATTGCAAAAGGTTTTCAACAGGCATCCAAGTTTAAATATCTGGGAACAATATTCACAGAGTATGGAAAGCTGAATTAAAAAAAAAAATAATAACATTTGATAAAGTTAAGTAAACCAAGCTTTATGACAACCCCCACCCCCCCCCTCCGACCACCCCTTTCCCCTTTTCCCCACAGCACAAGACCATAACGATAAGCACACAGAAACATCTCCTGCAAAGAATATCCATCCCCTGTGCCAGATGAGGCTACTAACGAGATACCAGAAAAGAAAATTAGTAACCATGGAAATTTGATGTCTGAGAATGACCGTAACTGTGTCTAGAAGAAATAAGGTCAGGAATGAGCTCATAAACATTATAAAATACAAATAGAAAGTAGAGGACATAAATAACATCAGGAATGAGCTCATAAACATTCTAAAATACGTATAGAAAGTGGATGACATAAATAACGTCAGGGATGAGCTCATAACCATTCTAAAATACATATAGAAAGTGGATGACATAAATAACATCAGGTATGGGCTCATTACCATTCTAAAATACAAATAGAAAGTAGAGGACATAAATAACATCAGGAATGAGCTCATAACCATTCTAAAATACAAATAGAAAGTGGATGACATAAATAACATCAGGAATGAGCTCATAAACATTCTAAAATACATATAGAAAGTGGATGACATAAATAACGTCAGGGATGAGCTCATAACCATTTTAAAATACATACAAAGACAAATTAAATAATTTGCCTACCTAGAGGTAACGCCTAGCGATGACATACACCAAAAGAGGAGAGGGACATAGACCAAATACAAGATAGAATGATAACACATTTACTGTTGTAAATGTTTATGAAGATAAAGGCTGCGTGTGTTAGAATTAAACTTTTTTGCAATAAATGTTTATTCTAAGGTCAACTGATAAAGGGCTGCTTAAAATTATTGTACGAAACTTTATTTGAAAAATGTTGATTTTACGTAATGAAGACTTAGTGATAATTCTAAAATAAAATATTTGATATTCTTGAGTAATATATGGTTATTACAGACTTGTCGCAACAACCATCTGAAAAATGACTGGGTTAAAGATTTAAAATGTTTCGTCTGTAGGTGTATGGTCACATAGTTGAATCTACCACACCCACCAACCTCCAGTCTGTTTCAGTCCTTGAGTAGCATAGTTCTGAAAGCTGCAGGTCTCAGCAAATCACTGGTCACAACCAGCTTGAAAAGACGTGGAAAGTGTATGAGACGTCATTAGAAGAAGTGGAATTGAGATTTTAATATTCAATGGGGTAAAATACTAAATAAGAGAGCCAGGTGGCGATAGAGAAAGAAGTATGTGAAAAATGGAAAATGATAGGCAGAAATTATTTAAATAAAACATCGTCATGAAACTTGAAGCCTACAAAAGACTAGAGAATCAAGCTCGCCAGTGCCCGCATCAGATCAGAGATTTGATTAAAAATGAAAAAAAAATAATTAAATATTGAATTTTAAATAAAACTTTTGTTTTCCACTCAGAGCTTCATTTGTTAATGTTCTTTCTAATCAGATTCTGTTTCTCTTGGTTCTCATTTTCGTCAGATGTAAGCTTGACATGACTTACTGCAGTAGTAATGGCACCTCCAACAGCTACTGCAATACCAAGAGGAGAAACCACTGCAGCTAACTCAACGCCAATGAACGAACACACAGACCCTAACGCAGCCCAGATTTTTTTCTTTTTCCGGATATTCTCCATTTCCAAGACCAGTGGCTGCAGTTCAGCGGTATCATGGAGTTTGTCCTCCAGCTTCCTCACAGTTTTCATCAGATCTGACAATACATTGTAGCCTTGATCTTGGACCACGATCTCATCCTTCAGATCCTGGATACTCTTTTGCAGTTGCTGTTTATGAGCCTCAGTCGGCTGTCTAGAATACACGTCTATATCGGTAGCCAGGAGGCTGATCTTTTGTTGAATTTCTAACGTCAGTTCAGGCGCTTTCAGTTCAACAATCAGCTTTTTCCGTTCATATTCAGCCTTTTGAAAACATTGGGATGTATATGTCCCATGGCGACTTTTTAGACCTCTTGCCAGGTCGACTAACTGTTGGATCTGCGACTCTCTTGTTTGTTCATCCTTCGTTCTGTTGTCAAATAAAACAAACCGTCCACCGCAGTCAGCATACAGCTGACCAAATTCCCCTGTCTGCTTCAGGCACCATTCTTCGAAGGTGATGTCCATCTGCTCTTCCTCCACTGCAAGTTGAAACAGATCGCCACAAGTCACAACAACAATCAAAAACTTCATGTAATCTTCCCCAAAGATTCTTTTCAGTGAGTTGAGCGCTGTCTGTTCCTCGGCAGTGAATCGTGTGCCAAATTTGATAGTAAAGAGAAAAGCGTGAACACCCCCATAGCACATTGCCAAAGCTTTGTCCATGTTCTTCGCTGCCGCTTCTTTATCTCTAACAGTGCTCAGTTGAGTATCTTCCAAGCCAGGCCCGTCAACAACCAGTAGAATGTTGTTTTTAAACTGCGCGAAGCTGGAATCAACATCCTTCGTCTGGGATGTTGTGTTGGCCGAAGTTTTAAAACAACGTCTGTTCATCAGCATGTTTCCAGTCGCACTTTTGCCCTGACCAGTCTTTCCTATCAACAGGAAGTTGTACTTTTCTTCGGACATTTCAGCTTTCTGTGTTTTCTGTAAACCACAAAAATAAATAAACAAATATTAATAGAGAGGTAGGTACTGTCGGATTACAAGAATTCTGCCATATTTTCTATCGGTATTGTTTATTTAAATTGAGACAGTATTCATTATATATTAGTGGCGAGGCGTGATGAGTTTGCATGTGTAAGCACTGACAGTACTAGAGAGGGTATCTGATGTCAATTTCCTTCTCGTTGCTTCACTATTGCTAGTATAGAAATATGTGTAGCGTTCACACGTTAAAGTTTTTTTATCATCATCATCATCAGTTCTCGTTATGCCTAGTCGCACATGAGGCTTCAGAGAGAATTTTCCATGCTTTCCTGTCCTGTGCAATCTTCAGTGCAGTTTTCCATGTCAAAGATGCCGCACTCAGGTCACTTTCCATCGTTCGTCTCCATGTTGTTTTTGGGCTCCCCTCTTTTCTCTTTCTCTCTGGTGTCCATGTGAGAGCTGTTTTGGCAGGTATATCAGAAGTCATTCTCATAACGTGGCTAAGCCATTTCCATCTTCTCTTGGTAATCATACTGTCTAAAGTTTCTTGGTTTGTGGCTTGAAGTAGTTTAGTGTTTGAGATTGTATCTGGCCAGACAATTTTGATAATTCTACGTAGACATGTGTGGTGGAAGGTGGACAGCTTGTGTGCATCCTTTCTGGTCATTCTCCAGCATTCCCCTCCATAACGAAGAACTGGCAAAATGATGCTCTTGCAGAGTCGGAGTTTCGTTCCTCTGCAGTAATTGTTGGATTTCCAGATTTGCCTCATCCTTTCAAAAGCAGCACTAGCTTTGTTCAGACTTGACTGCATGTCTTCCTCTGTCCCTCGCAGTAGGTATACGACACTGTCAAGATATGTGAAATGTTCTACATTTTCAAGTGATTGGTTACTTATGGTCACTGGTTGTTGGTTTGGACTGTTTGTCATGATTTTAGTTTTCTTTGTATTTATTCTCAGTCCTATTATTTCTGCTGTGAAGTGTAGTCTGTTACTTTTCTCTTGTATATGTTCATGTTTATGTGATAGGAGTGCTATATCATCTGCGAAATCAAGGTCCTCAAGCATGGTGAATGGAGTCCATCGTATGCCTCTTAATGTCCTGTCTACTGTGTTCTTTAGTATCCAATCAATAACAAGGTTGAAGAGGAGAGATGACATAACACATCCCTGTCTTACACCCGTCTTTACTGGGAAAGATGTATTGTAATTTTTTATACTGCAGGTAAATTCTTTATAGAAGAGAGCAATTATTTTGACAATTTTTTCTGGAATTCCATAATGTCGTAAAATTTTCCACAGACCGTCTCTATGGACGCTGTCAAAAGCTTTCTTAAAGTCCACAGATTAATATATATACCTCTCTGCCATTCATTGCATTGTTCTAAAATGTTACGTAGGGTGAAGATGTGCTCAGTTGTTCCTCTGCCCTTTCTGAATCCTGCTTGTTAAAAAATACATATAGAATATATCTAATCTGACAATTTTCTCTAGGCCTTTCTGGCGTAGTGGGTAATGAGCAGGTAGACAGATTGGCTGGATCTGCCCCACTGGATGGTGAATTGATACATGACAAGGCATATTTGGTTAAGGTCCTTTAGGAACAAGCAACGGAATCAGTAGAGAAACAAGATTATTATGCCCTGGAGAGAATGAGGCACCTGGGTGTAACCAGCAGGTTTGGCCAGCTGAATAGACTCAGAGGAAAGGCAAGACGGATATATAACCAAATTGTGACCGGCACCATCAGAATTCGAACTCTGCGCTGGCTGCTGAAGATGAGGATAGAGCACGCATGGGAATGTCCCGAGTGCCGTTATGTCCATTCTTGACTCAACCCAACTCTAATTTGACGAAATTGCTGTCTGTTTAGGCATTACCGCAGATGTGCGCGCCTTCCGGTATTTATTTTAGGCTAGACTTCAAGAGTCAATGAGAGGATAATCAATGCAAGAAACACTCGTTCACCCAAGTAGATCCCACCTGATAAATGACGCCCATATACCAAGGGCCGCCTACAGAGGAGACTGATGTTCATACCTCATTGGTTATCAACGGGTTTTCCCAAAGAGATCAGGGAAAAGCAGCTTTTCCAAAAAAACATTACACAACTCTTTGACTTTTGTTAAATTTCTCATTACAACATTATTTGGAGAAAAAAAAAACTTGCTTTCCGATGATACCAAAGCAGTTTTGTTGATGTTACTAAACTTATACCCTTACGTCACACAAGCACCCTAGCATATTCACCCACACACACTCACCCTAGCATATTCACCCACACACACATCCTAGCATATTCACCCACACACACATCCTAGCATATTCACCCACACACACATGCTAGCATATTCACCCACACACACATCCTAGCATATTCACCCACACACACATCCTAGCATAGTCACCCACACACACATCCTAGCATATTCACCCACACACACATCCTAGCATATTAACCCACACACATCCTAGCATATTCACCCACACCCACATCCTAGCATATTCACCCACACACACATCCTAGCATAGTCACCCACACACACATTCTAGCATATTCACCCACACACACATCCTAGCATATTCACCCACACACACATCCTAGCATAGTCAACCACACACACATCCTAGCATATTCACCCACACACACATCCTAACATATTCACCCACACACACATCCTAACATATTCACCCACACACACATCCTAACATATTCACCCACACACACATCCTAGCATAGTCACCCACACACACATCCTAACATATTCACCCACACACACATTCGCAGACGATGAACTAGAAGGAGGATAAAGATGAGGGACATGAGCAGGAAGTGATAGAAGAAGCAGAAAATGAGGAGGACGGGGAAGAGTAAGAAAAAGTAAAATAAGGAGAAGGAGGAGGAATAGGAAGAAGAAGAAAGGACAAAAAGAAAGAAGGCTACAGATGATGCTGTGATGGAGGAGGAGATGCTGATGATAATAATGATAAAGATGATGATGATGAGGAAGGAGAAGTAGGAAAAGAAGAAGAAGAAGAAACAAAAGAAGAAGAAATAGAAGGAGAAGGAGAAAGAAAAAGATGAGGAGGAAGAATAATAATGAGAATGAGGTGGTTGATTAATGAGACGGAGGAGGAGAAGAAACAAAAAAGCGACTGAGACTGCGACACATGAGGTGGTGGTAGAAGAGGAGATGATGATGATGATGATGATGAAGAAGAAAAAGAGGCTAACGCTGTATTTTTTGTTTGAACATACAATTCAAACGTACTTTACAATATTTGTCAAATTTAGGTAAAGCTATCGCACAGACATGCACACACACAAATACACACACATACATACATACACACACACACTTCATTAGGAAACTGAGACTCTATAGGGTGCCTTTTCATTACCACCCCCCACCCTCTCAACCGTCGTAGAGAAATCAATAGTATCAATTGTTTGTATATATGTGTGTGTGTGTTTGTGTGTGGTTGTGTGTGCGTGTGTCTCTTTCTTCTTGTCTCTACTCCTGGAATGTCTCGCGGCGACAGGACGAGAAGAGATCTCTGGAACGGGCCCTTCTGTTCGCTTCGTTTAGAATACTGTTGCGCTTCTATTTTCAATAAGAATTAATTACATTTTGTATGTAATCATTTCATATCACTATTGTGCTCTCTCTCTCTCTCTCTCTCTCTCTCTCTCTCTCTCTCTCTCTCTCTCTCTCTCTCTCTCTCTTTCTCTTTCTTTCTCCTCTCTCCTCTCTCTTCTCTCTCTCTCTCTCTCTCTCTCTCTCTCTCTCTCTCTCTCTCTCTCTCTCTCTCTCTCTTTTTCTGTTCTCTTTACACAGTCACTTTAGACTTTAGGTAACCAGTTTTGTTCTGCTTCATCTCCTTCTGTTTGAATTAACTGGGCAGATCTCGCCAGATTCAAAACCTGCATACTATTTGAAGATATCACCCTCCTAGGTAAAAAAAAAAGGTTGGCAAATCTTGTTTGCTGGCGACACACTTTGCTGAAAAACATAATTTCAAGAGCCGGTAACCAGGTAATGACAGTTTCAACTTCAAACAAACGGGTCATACCATAGCTGCGCTGCTCCTGTACAATATAGAATGTCCATTGCTGTCCTTACTGAAAACCCCTCGACACAGACTGCAATCTTAGCAAATTCAAGAACATAGACGCGCAATAAATTCATCAGGCTGGAACCAGAAGTGCTATCACAAACAGTCTGACACTAGAAATGCAGTCTACTAGTAAATCAAATGTTAAATGGGAGCTATTTTATTCTTGGCGGTACGAAATACCGGCACCCTTTGCATGCATTTTATGTTTCAGACCTACAGTAATAGACACCTCGTGGTGAGCACCGGCCCCCTTTTTTTGGACAATTGGTGGAGAGTACCGTCACCTTTATGGACAATTTGTGTAGAGTACACGCACCTTTTTGGACAATTTGTGGAGGGTAACGGCACCTTTATGGATAATTTGTGGAGAGTACCGGCACCTTTATGGATAATTTCTGGAGAGTACCTACACTTTTTTTCTCAAGAAAAAAAGTACCCAGGTTAAACTAGCCCTTAATAAGAGATATGTGCACCATTAACGTTCGAGCGAGTCACGACACACTACAGCTGACACATGAGCGTGTCACGACACACTGCAGCTGACACATGAGTTTTGTCACGATACACTACAGCTGACACATGAGCGTGTCACGACACTCTGTAGCTGACACATGAGCGTGTCACGACATTCTGCAGCTGACACATAAGCGTGTCACGACACACTACAGCTGACACATGAGCGTATCACGACACTCTGCAGCTGACACATAAGCGTGTCACGACACTCTGTAGCTGACACATGAGCGTGTCACGACACTCTGTAGCTGACACATGAGCGTGTCACGACACACTGCAGCTAACACATGAAGTGTCACGACACACTACAGCTGACACATGAGTTTTGTCACGACACACTTTA